TTTTTTAAAAGTAAATTTTTTATAAAATAATCCTTAAACACTAAATTAACATTTACATTTAATATGCCCATATGCTTATGTCAACAGCTTCCTAATTTTGTTACATATCATTTAATAAAGACTCCAAATAAAATAGCATATCATTTTTAAATCTAGTTATTTACTATTTCTTTCATTTGGTTAGTAATAGCAATAAAATCTGGGTCTTATACATGCTGGGCAGGTGCTCTACCACTGTGCTATGACTCCAGTTTGCCTGTATATTTAAACAACAGAATTTCGATATTTCGTCATTTGGATACAGAAAATAAAATCCTCCTAAAATAGATAGGATCTAACCTACAGTAATGAAAAAACTTAAATCCTTTTATTTTTGCATTTCAGATTGGCATAGGTTATATATACAAAAGGATCTAGTTCTACTTACTATAGGTTAGCTTATAATGAAAGACAAAATGTCAGAAAGTGGTCCTTTGTTCTTTCCTCTTGCACTATCTCATCTCTCCTTCTATCTTTCCACTCACCCACCCATATATTCACCTATATATCTTTCTTATCTCTCTCTTCCATCTATCTACCCCTCTATGTAGGTATCTATGTATATTTCCATTGATCTGCACATATTTGTAAATAGCAAACTAAACACTGAAAAACCCTAGACATGGCTATTTATACCTATCACATTTTAAGACAGATATTAATAAAAAAAAAGATACTAATCTATTTCTACTTGAAATAGAGCCTTTTTTTCATAGGTTAAGAATGTCAATTTTTTTTTCTTTTTTGCAGAACTGGGGATTGAACTCAGGCCCTTGCGTTTGCCAGGGAAGCGCTTATTCCACTAAGCCATCTCCCCGGCCCCTGAATGTCAAATTTAAATGATGCGATAGCATATACCTTATGATGCCTGAACTAGACAGAGCCTACCTTTCCTGTACTAAGATTTACCTAGACATTCTTAAGAGCCTGTTGTCAGGCCCTGAAGCATAGATATGAATATGTATAAGGGCATATGCCAAAAGCAAGATAATTGATACTACAGTATTTTATTTAGATTTCAGTTGAGATAAGGAGATTACCAATATTATCCGATTTTTGTCACACAACAAGCAATTTCATGTGGTACCATCTTTATGCTACGGTGACAATTAGCTTCAAAATTTAAAAATTACCAAAAAGCTATAAAAAACTAAAAAATTATTTCAATTATAACATTTTTCATTTGCTTTAGGGATATCTGTGCAGCCTGGTACTATAATTATATGGCAAAGCTTCCTGGCACTACAAATTCTTTAAAGGTAATTCATGTTTTAAATGAAAGAAGGCAAGGCCCCTGGTATCTAGGAGTGCAATTACATCATTACAAAATTTCAGAGTGAAACATACTGCACTGGTTTCGTTTCTAGTTGGCCTGTTTCTAGCTTCTTTCTGCCCTACCATGAAGGGACATTTTCATGCACTGACCTTTAGGAAATGTTAGTGTTAGCAAGCAGAACAAGCATGGTGGATGTTTGTCTTTTGAGCAAGATATTTCCATCAAAGCTACAGACATATCATACACGTTTTCCTAAATAGTCGTGGCACAATTCACAGGTATTTTCTCCCTCCCCATTTCCCAGTTTGGCTGCTGAAAGATGCAACAAGGACCAAGTTGTAAGAAACAAAGAACCAAGAGCCAATCCATGAAGAGAAATCTGCCCCACCCCAGGCTTAATACAAGCAAGCCATTCACAGAGCTAATGGGATGGGCCTGCCGAATCCAGAACAAGTCACAGACACATCAGCAACACCAAGTGGCATGCAATGACCAGATGACCGTAGGTGCCACTGCCATGCTTTGATCTGTTCAAGCTCAGAAAACAATCTCATTGAAAACGCGGACAATTAGCTTTGCATAAATCAAAGTGAGATTAAAAGTAAGGATCTGGTGATATCAAAGGTTTATCCAGTATTTCCTAAATGCCAAGAAAAAGATGTTCACCTATCCGCACTGATTGGCCAATAAGACTATAAAATTACCTAGGTCAGCTTCATCTTTTTCATTTGGGAAAATCTCTGCTCACACCAGATGGTCTTCATGCTGGAGGTCAACATTCAGGGGCTCTCAAGGTGCTCCGAGATAATCAGCGTGTGATCATTTAACCAGGTAGATGATGGGCAGCAAGGTGCACAGTGCCCATTACAGACCTTCTGGGATGTCCTGAGGTTACTAGAGTTCAATATTTCCAGAGGTCCCTGAATCTTTAATGTGATGAGGGCTTAATTTGTGCTGATAAAAGGTAAAATTCTACCTACTGGGAACATCAAACTTCTTTCCCTTTCAAGACATCGAAAGAGTGAATCTCATGATTGCAGGGAGTGTTAGTTGCAGTTTTTCTTTTGATCAAATTGACAACCTGTGAGCATTTCCCAAACAGTCTCAATTCCTGCTGACTTTCTTTCCTAATTTGTAGGCATTTCTTTTTGTTAAGTTTCTCTCTTTGTCTGCCAGAGGAGAGGAACTAAGAGTTAGTGACGCTATGCTACGACAGCATAAAAATTGTTTGCCATATTGTTGCCCTGAGATAAACTGTAGGTGTTTGGCAACTGTAATATGGATGCAAAAGCTGTTGTGATAATTTCACATTTTCCCCAAAATGTGTGTACTGATAAAAGGACCTTCTGCTTCTGAGCTACTTACTAAGAATAAAACAAGCACCACCATAGAGAATCTTGAGAAATCAAACCAGAAATATCATTTTAGAGATTGTTTTCTGGTAATTCACCTATTACTGGATTTACCTCAATAAATAATTCCATACGTGACAAGTATCTTGCCTACAATAAAGTTAAATAGGGCCAGTAATCAATTTCCACAGCAACCAAGAAGGTCTACTGTGCAAATGTCTCTAATGAACAAAAGAGGCCAATTACATGGACCAGAATACAGTTAGTTGGTTTCTTCAACTGAAACTGTTATACTAAACTGGGAATTGCCACAACTAAAGATTTACTAATCTAAGAAAGAGGGTATTTTTTTCTCAATAGGATATGTTTTCAATGAGAAATCTTAATAATATTAAAAGTACAAATTATATATATATTTGCATATGTAGTACTATGAAATGAAAATTTTAACTGAATTTTAGAAGAATAGATGTGGAGATTGCTAGCTCTCAAGTCAACCTCCGAGTAGTACTAAATATTGTTTAGTTTTTAGAATTTCTAGATTTATCTTCTTGAAGAAGGCAATTTTGTAATTTTATAATTAACCTTTTTTCAACATGGAGATAGATACACTTATACTGAGAAGCAAGATAAGCATTCAAGGAAACAAATCTATTTAAGATTCTCATAATTATTCAGCAGGCTAAAGTTACTATGATTATAATTACATACAAAGTGGGTGTTTGAAAATTTAGCATCTAGAAATATTTTCATAAAAATAATTAAGGGTTGTAGCTGAACAACATTACAATTGAAAAAGCATGACTCTTCAGTGCGTGGAATTTAATAACATTAAGCCTTTTCATTTGTAGAACGATATTGAGTGTTTCAAGACCGCTGCCATTTTTATTAGCTTTATTATCTCCATTTTCCTAATTCTGTGTCAAAGTATATGCGAGATAACAATTTACATGAAACATTTTGTATCTTGGAAACTGATTATTGGGTTTTGAATTTATAATTATGTCTTAGTAGTAGTTTGCATTTCTTTGAAGGCACCCTATAGCCTTGAGAACTTGCTATGGCTATTGATGATAAAATAATACCAAATACAATCAGACAGCAGATCTTAACTGTATCTTGTCAAAAAGCCATTTGTTACAAGTATAGGCATGGGATTTTCCAAGTGCAAGTTTGGGGATTTATTTGGCATTATTGGCTTATAGAAAAGTTCTGTAGCTACAATGGGTAACAACCCATTTTGTGAGAAATGGAATGGAACTGCTTGAAAAGCACACAACAGCAAAGTGAGAGAGAAAGAGAAGAGATCAGTCACCACAGGCCAGGTGAAAGGAGAGTGGTTGCTGACACACCCCACCCAGGAATCAAGTCCATTGACTGCTTACCTTTCTGACCCAGCATGCCTCAGCCACACATGCAAATTGTTATCATTATTTTATTCATGAAACGTATTTTTAAATTAAAGGAGTCATTACCAAAAAAAGCACCCTCTATGACATTTGTGCATGCAGAGCATCTGAACATTCACATTTATGTCCTCAGAAAACAGAGCCAAGGAGTTGCATTCAATATGGAAACACGCACTTTGTTTTTTAAGGCACCTGCACAAAAATAGCTATGGCTTGCTGTCTCAGGAACGAAGTCATCTGTAAAGCCTGGGGAATGGAGCCACTCCCACACAACCATTCTGACTTTTACATTTCTCCAACACCCATCTTTCCCTCCTACTGCTAGTTTTGATGTGTGGTGTGCATTGCAAATAAAAGGCAATTTATGTGTGTAGAACTGGACATCAGGCATTGCCATGAGAGGAAGAAATCTTATGAAATTCAGAGACACTTTTCATTCCTTTATTTCGAATTTTGAAATGCTTTCTGGGGTGTAAAGAGCTGTAGGAAAGGAAGGTGCTAGAAATGGAGGTAAACCTGCAGGATCATTCTATTTTTCTCTTTATGAGTAAGAGGAGACCATGGTCTTACATTGAAGACCATGAGAAGGTTGTACAGGAGTGTGTGTGTGTGTGTGTGTGTGTGTGTGTGTGTGTGTAATGTCTATGGTCACAGAAATAAAAAGGTCTGAAAAGAAACTACAGAAAGATAAAGCACAGCTCTTTCTTTCTGTGTTAGCAGAGAGGGGGAGGGTTTGCAATGAGCAAGGCTCAGTCATTCCTCCTGTCCCTGTGGCCTTATTTACCCTTTCACCATGGGACCCAGTGCTTGGGCACTTCCTCCCCACGACTCATGCATCTTCAGCAGGACCAGACGAGAATCTCCCGTCCCACCAACTAAGTTAATTTTCAAGTAGTTGTCAAGCACGGGTAGGAGGACTCTTACCTGTCACTGTAGGCAGCAGCAGTGGCAGGGGTAGGCTGGGCATAGCGGTATGCAGCATAACCACCCTAAAACACAAGGAGAAGTTGGACTTAGGAGTGCAGAGAAGCCTAAGGGATGGGGGACACTAAGCAGTGAGACCACAGCAAAATAGCAGTTACCCAAGGTCTACCAAGCTGAAGTTGAGGTTAATAAGAGCTTAGTACAAAAAAGGCGAAATACAAAATGTACTGCAGAGAGAAAGGGTGGAAACCCAACCCCACTGCATGTTAAAGGTTAGCAATCCTAAGCCCATCCCAGAGGAGGAACCCTGGTGCCCTTAGAAGAAAGCATACCTAAAGGTTAACGGTAAAGGTCTTAAAGTGAGGAGGATTACAGAAGATTATTAAAATACTCATTATACTTTGCTGAACTTTCCAGATTTTCAAAATTGATTATGCTTTACCTTTGTTTATAAGTTTGTAATTTAAAATGTCTGCAAATGGCCCTTAATTGTGTCTTTACAAAAATAATCTACTCTTACGTCTTTTACATTTATCGGAAACATCAGATGACAGTTTGAAAGTTTCTTGTGATTACTCGAATTTGCAGTCATTTAATCACTAATTCTGTTGAAGAAGACTGTATTGGCTGTCTAAAACTTATATAATTATTATCAATGTGGTGAATGTTTCTTAAGGATTCAGTCTTTTTGGCTGAAATGTCACACTGCTTGTGCCATACTGGTTCAGATGTGGGATTTGTTTGGTGCAGAAAATATGATAAAGCCTTCTAATTTGTAAATAAAATCATTAAGAGGGAAAAAAACCTAGAAAGGAAAATAATTAACATTTAGTTGCTTGTACCATAATTGCAATTGTTCAATTAAGCAAGGAGGACAGCAAATGTGCATATTCAAAAGGAATTGTGTTCAGTGGAGCATTGATTATCAAACTGTGAAAATAACAGAGCTTCTTGCTCAACAGACCACAGCGATATGTCAACCACTGTGGAATGATCTCAGCACAATTAACAAACAGGATCCAGTTTCCACTGATAACACAGGGACCATAACACAGAACTACTCAGGTCTAATTAGAACATACAGTCCCATAATCCTCCGAGGGAAGGATGCTTACCCCCACCATAAAGGGCCAGTTCGGGATAGAAGACTGTGTCTAAAGGTGTCTCACAACAAAATTATCAGCGCTCAGGAAGGCTGGGGTCCTTATACTTGCTTTATATGCAGAAAAAAACTAAATACAGAAAGATGCAGAATGATTGAGCATTGCTCATCGCAAGGATGCAGAAGGAGGAAGTGGAAATACTGCAGAAAACATACTTCGATGGTAGATAAAACAATCTTAGTAATTTTTTCCTAGCTCCCTCTAGTTATGGATAACTTTCAGAATGAGTGTGCAATTCAAAATAAGTGGCTTATCCTTAAAGAAGTTGGTCCTCTAGATCATCCATGGTAAGGACACAACCAATATCTCCAGAGAGATAATCCCCACTAATTTGGAACCAGTATATGTGTTCATAGTCTCCCTTAAGAAAAACAATGTGAATGTTTAAAAATATATACAAAAGGTCTTAACCAGACACCACCTGGTGTTCCAAACACCATGTTCTCTAATTAGGAATAGAAAGCCTCATTAAATGTGCTGGGGAGCCATCAAACCAAAGGAGTTGTCATACCAGCACGGAGCTCAAGTCACAGAATGATGAGCTGAGGAGAAATGAGGGCACCAAGTTTCTGGAGCTGTTCCTTTAATCTGCTTGCCATCATCATCCTGGCTTGCATGATGCTTACAGAAAGATACAGGTTGCCAGTATGGATATTAAGCTTCAGGACAGAGGAAGGGGTTGGAATTGATTCGTTGGTCCTTAGGAGTCCTTAGTTGCAAGTGGTTGAAAACTTTGAGTGGAGAAAAAGTACGGATGCATCTTCCCTCTCTTTTCCCCATAATGGAAAGGTATTTGTCTGGGTAATCACATAGATGCTGGGTAAATTGTGGCTGCATTAGAGTGTATTTGGCCCCAGTACAGATTTCTGATAGTGTCCCATGTGCAAAGTCTTTTGAGGTTTGAACTTTGTGTATCTCCAACTTCAGCAGTAGTTACAGTCAATAAAATGTGGCAAATCTGACGAATGACAAGAATGCTACAGGGCAAGCCAAAAATAACTAAAGGGAACCCCAATGAACATGAGGTTGGTACTTATTGTAGGAGCATCAAATGCAGGTGCATACACCTGGTTCCTTCAGCATGGAAGAAGAGAATTTGTGAATGCCCTTTGTTTGCTAGAATGTGTTGTGGCCAATAAGAGAAAAGAAATATGTATTTCTGTAAGATAGGCACAAGTGGTTGACTCCCTGTCTTTATAATCTAGGATTTTGTTCACAATTATGCTTATCTCAACTGTCAATAAAATAGTTTGCTAAAGTCTTCAGAGAAAGTGAGATTTTTTTTTTACCTTGATCAGTGGTCTGATTGCTGTCCAGCAGACCATGCAGTATGCTGGAAATGTCCTGTGTTGGGGCCATCCAACACCTTCGACAACAGTCATAAGCATGTACTGCATGTTTGACATGTGCGTAGTATAATAAACTAAAATTTTAGCTTACTTCATCTTTTTTTGTGGTACTGGGGATTGAACTCAGGACCTTAGGCTTGCCAGGCATTACTGCATCTTAATTGATTTAAATTTAAGCATAACTAGCCACATGGAGCTGGTAGCTACAATATTGGACAGTACATGTGTAAGTCATTCGTGAAACATAGTCCTTAGGGGAAGAAGAGTTAGGTAGCTTCCACCTCTCTATATTATGCTGTCTTCTTTGCTATTTTTCTTTTGCATGAAATCCATATTAGGGGAATAGCAAGGTTGTGTATTAACTCAGTATATGTGTGCATGCACTGTAAAATGATCAAAAATACAAACTGCTTTAATTTGCCTTGTAACCAGTGACTCTGATCAATTTTATTGCTCTATATTTTGCAGCTTGCTGAGAAGAGCCAGAGCTTCTGGATCGTTCTGTGCTAATGCCAGGAAAAGGAGCTTTCTTCTCTTTGAGATCAAACTCCGTTGACGTTTAGCCTGGCCTTCTTGGGCCGTAAGACAAAAATGTCGTCGATAAGTAGATTTTTTCCAATCACAAAACCAAAGAAAAAAGGGAAAAGCAAATAGCATCCTTCTAGACTTCTCACTCATAAACCATACGTGTATTTTCTCAGGTTGAGAAGAAAATTATTATAATGTGACTTTGTATAAAAATAAATTTTACACAGCTACTGTGGATTCCGATGCTGCCACCAAGAACTAAGGGCGTCGAAGTAACATGCTTACATAGACTACAATGCTTGCTTTGTTGGCAAAACCTCTGGAGGTCCTTTGGGATAGTTGAGGACTTCAAAGGATGTTCTAATAAATCATCTTCAAAATTGCATTTGGTGGGATATTAGTGGTGGCAGAAAAAGGAAAGGTTCCAATGACCAAATGACTTAAACCAAAAGGTATATTTAGGCATATATGCAGAAGAGTTTGGATAATTGTATTGTCAATTTCTGCTGGTATTTGAAAAGAGCAGTTTATGCTTATTTTTTTATTCTGATTTTTTTCCTGTTTTGAATTTCTTATTCTTCATAATTGTTTTTTAAAAATAACTCCCAGATGTTTATATCTGGTAATCTGAACCAGTAATTGGAATATAGCATCATGTAATACAGCAACCACTGTTGAATTTCTATTACTTTGTTTAGTGAAATCTTGCATCATTTTTATTTTTTAATTTTTTTTATTTCTTGGTTGGTGAGGTTTTTTTTGCCATAGTTTTATTGATAAACAAATAGCAATGAGGCAGTTTCAAATCAAATCGATAGGACAGTTTCAATAATTAACACACTGCATACATTCTTCTTAGTGGTTAATTGCTGTACAAGATGTGGACTTGAGATCCTATTTACAAACACCATTAGAACAAATCATTCTATTCATTAAGAGAGTGTAACTATATATCTATCCTAACCACTTTGAATACACAGATACAAAATGGACATTCATCTGTATCCCCTTTTTTTGTTAAGTTCCATTATTTGAATATTATAGGTGTGTAAACTCAGCAAAATATTCTAAAAGAGTCCAGTAGCCCATAAGAGTATTGGGTCTTCCGCTTAACTGTCTTGCATCATTTTTAAAGCAGCTTTTATTTTCTATCACTATTTTGCATTCTTTAGAAATTAAAAAAAAAAATGAAGCCTGTTTGTGGAACTTCTTAAAATAATACTGATCAAGACAGGGGATCTCTAAGGCCTCTCAAAGTATTTTTTTTGAAGAAGAAGAAGAAGAAGAAGAAGATCTGAAGTTCCACATTAGGACTGGAATTTGGAAAACAGAGGTTCTAAAAACCAAATAATAAATTAGGAAGACAAGAAAAGCCTTCAGGCACTGCTGGAGACATGCTCACGGCAGAAGCCGACATGAAGGGCGTCGTGAGGGCTTCGCTTTGGCATGGATGCAGAGGGGAGAGCAGCAGGCTCACCCAGAGGGGGAGCTCCTTCCCTCCAGAACAGTCATACGTCTGCTCACTTTGTCTAAAGCAGGCGTATTAGTTTAAGGGAACTCAACTTTCTTTACTGGGGGAACATGTACAAGAACATTTGCAGAATAAAAATCTTCTTTGTAGATTGCGACTCCCTCGTTTATCAGCATTGCACATTCAGCTACTTTTGAAATGTGACAATAGACGTGTAGTTTTCTTGAAATGTAACCAGAAAGGTGGATCTCAGGAATTTAAACCACGTTGCCTTCTACTCCAACTGTCTGCTCTTTTATCATATTCATGGGTTTTTAAAAAATAAAATCAGATCAGCTCTCATGGTTTTAAGAAATATCACATTAATTGAATGAATAGTGAATAAAAAATGTGAGTTGCAGGTGATAGGGAAATTCATGTCACAAAATCCCACTGATCATCCTCACTTTGATATTTATCTTCCATTTTACTTGATAGTTTTAATGTTATTGATAGATAAAATTTGGGTACTGTCTCTCAGCAACAGATGTGTTGATGTTTTGGGGTTTTTTGTTGTTGTGGTGGTATTTCCTATAAATTCATTTATCAGGAATTGCTTCAGCAATGAAAAATGGGTGTGAAATTAATTGCTGACCAACTATAAAGAAAGCAGGGATAACTTTGTTAGATATTAGTTAAATCTAAACCAACCTTTACCTCTCAAAGTATAAGAACAGAGTTTGGGTTTTCTTAGTCCAATGGACTCAGAGGACCTATTAAGATATTGCCTAGAAAGTTGGCCCAATGAAATCCTTTAATTCTTTTTGCTGAATTTATACTGATGGAATCCAGACACATTTAAAACCAAGAGATTAACAGCCCAGCTAGATCTCAAATTTGATACACTCAGGATCTAGCAAAGCTCGTGGCTATGACTAACCAAGGTCTGTGGTGAAACAGCTCTGACGCAGCTGTCCCTATTCTACTCATGGACATAACAAGATGAGAAGATGACCATCTTTAAATCAGGAAGAATTTACATTAAAACTGGAAAATTCAGTTCAGTGTTTCCTCCTTTTACATTGCAGTTCCCCTTCCCAGAATCATCTTGTTAGTAAGAATTTCACAGCAAACCCACAACCATAGTGATGAGTTGTTCTACCAGTCGCGATTTCATACCTGCAGCAATTTATTGCCATACACAGGCTCTTGATACACTACTCTATAAGGAAACAGAAATGTAATGTTTTCAATGCAAAAATGAAATAAATAAAAGAAAATGCTTAAGTCAGACAGAACTTCCAGAGCAATTCATTTACAAGTTTGCTTTTTATTGTTTGCTAATACTTGAGAGTGACCCATTAAATGCAAAGCAGATAGGCTTTGCTGAAAATTTGTAATTACGTATCCCTGTGACGAAGATTATCAAAGAAGTTGTATGTGGGAATCAGGCTGCACTGTTTGTGTTCAGGATATGACCTGTGCTTATTTTAAAGGAGAAGAAAGGATAATATCATGGCTTCTCACCTTTCAAAGTACACCCCAACAGTTTAAGTTCACTAACTACTGAGAATTTAGCTCTTCATCTCCTGATTGGAATTCCCTGGCATACCTGAGGATTTAATTTGGATGCATAATTATTCAGGCAGCAGAGACGAATGTAGAGCAGCAAACACAATGTGTTGACATATTTATCTGTTAACTTCAAATCCAAACACAAATAAAATTGCATTTCACAAGTTCTCGAATCTCAGTGAAGCTACTGAAGCTATTTTACAAATGTGCTAGAAAACCTACATATGTGTATGTGTATATGAAGGAGCTACTGTTAATACACATGTCCTTAACATGTCATCACTCCATTCAAATCTGATACTGATAAAGCTCAGTGGAACCCTCAAACAGAGTGGAAAAGAGCTGGGAAGTTACGCATGGGTGATTGTTCACATACACTGTTTAAATTTAAAGAGAATTTTCTAGTTCCACAATAGGTATCAAGGCCACTGAGTATTTTAAGGAACTTAAAGTTCTGCTCAACAGATGCACGTGCATCTGTTGTGCATGTGTGTGTGTGTGTATGTGCGTGCATGTGTATGTATGCATGATTCTTTTCTTAAATAATATGACTTTACTTGCTAGCTAATTTTCCTCTTTAAATTTCCTCTCTGAGCTCTAAGTCTGTGTGCTCTTACCACTTTCTTACTGCTTATTTCAATGAGTCAAGTATAGATACTATTGTCCAGTGGCCTGGAGACTCCCTGTACTTCTCATATTCTTTTCTCACTCTCCTTTCCCTCTTTACATTGCATTTCTCCACTTTTTTTTAACAACTTTGATCAGGGGGACGATGTCAAGAGTGTTGTACTCCATGGCCAGATCATGTAGGCATCATGTCTCAAGTCAGGGAAGTTCTGGACAAATTAATTTGATGCTCTTTTTTAAAAAAAATATGTTTCATCTTCTGAGGAAGTGGAGGTAGTGAGGTCCACTTTGTACAGGGCAGCGGAAGGGAGAAGATAAGGAATGCAGACCCAAAGCTTCACATCTTGTCTGTCATGTGGCAAATGCTTCATGCAGAGCAGGGTCTGTATGTGGCATCTTCCTCCTTTCCAGTTTTCCTCATTCCCTAAGCTACTATGTTATACATTCCTGAGCTCAAATGTTAGGGGAAAGAAAGACTCTTTGAAAAGATATATTCATGGCCCAGTAACAAGGATGCAGAAATAATTGTGTGTAGGCACAGTGTCCACTGGAAACCTGTTATAACAACAATATAAAAATTAACTGGGGTCTCAAGATGCCATATTTGCTTGGCAATCCTAATGGCTGCATATCAGGAAGTTTGGGCTGCTCTTAATCAGAGAGAACACAGTTCATATTTATACTGTGCCTCCTCGCTGTCTTCTTTCTTCTATATCCTGTCACCCAGCTTACAGGGGTCTCATTCTGTTTTCTACTGATAACCATGTCAAACTGTTTATAGCTTTATTATAATTCCTTTCTGCCACTCTTTCTGTTTTCAAGAGTTATCTTTTATCAAATGTCCTCTTCTTTGATCTCTCTCTGAGAAGGGCAACCAACATGTATTTTGATTAAGCTGTTAAAAAACATTCATATTCCTATCCTGGGTTAATTTCTCCTGAGATCTCCACCCAGATCACCTATGAAGGGAACAGATGACTTTGCAAGTTGAAACTTAAGCGTCTGGATTATACCTTTCAGTTTATATCACCCTTACTAGTAGTTCTTCAGCCATATTCTTTAACTTGAAACACTTTTTAATTAAAATGAGTTTATGTTAATATGCACCAATAAGAGATAATGATTTTATTTTCTTTTTTAATGTATTTAGTACAGGGCCTACAGGGTCTCACTGTGTAGACAGGACTCGCAGTGATTCTCCTGTTTGCAGCCTCCCAAGCACTGGGATTATAGGCATATGCCACCTCACTCAGTCTAAATTACCATCTGAGTGCACTTTGGGGGTGGTGCCAGCATGGCATGCTGGGGATCAAACCCCAGCTACTGCACTGTGCTTAGGCAGGCACTGTAGTCTACTGAGCTATCTGGCTGGCCTGATAATGATTTTCTTAAAAGTCTGATAATTTAGTTATAAAAAATAATTTTCCAAGTTTTGCAACCAGAGTGTGATGCACATGTTCTGTTCTCAGGAAGAAGGTACTCAGGAAATGACCCTGCCTGGCGCTGTTTTCTGCATCACGTCTAATGTGCAGCCATTTGCACTGTGTCTGCACATTGCCACTGTGACCAGCAGGGCTGGCTTGGCAACAGGACTCCGTTCTTGAATGGGTGGTTGGTTTTGTTTTGTTTTGTTTTGTTTTTGTTTTTGCCCTGGTGTTTACCTTAGCTTCCAGCTCCCAGTATCTCTTCAGACTACCCTCTCTGACAACTCCAGGGTATCTAGGATCATCTCTCCCTTTCCACACAATGTTGTCTTCTCTGCAAAGTTTTAAGGAAGAGATGCTTCAATAGATCGCTGCAGGTGACCCTTTTCAGACACCATTCAGATCTTTCAATCCTGCATGCTCCTGGGAACTAAGAGATGCCTGGGGTGGGGAGTCCATCAGCGGGTGGAAGAAGGTGGAAAGACCTGGGAGAACAGAGGCAAAGGGAGGGAGGGAGCAGGGAACATGGACAGGAGAAGTCCTTTCCCAGTTCTACTGCTGTTGTCTGTTGTCTTGGCCTGCTAGACTGCCAGGGCCGAAGATGAGCTGAGCAGCAAGAACCAGATAGTAACTTCTCATGCCTTGCTTAGGAGGAGCCAAAGCCAGAGTCTTACAACCCTTTTCACCACGATTAAAAAAAAAGAGGCTTAAATCCATAGGAGGTGACTGATTTTTCGAAACACATCCCAGGACCCCTCATAATTGCCCTAAATCTGTTTATCATGCACTGTATTCGATGAGATTGAAAGAATACTTTAAGAAAGGTATTTTCTTTAAGAAAAATAGAACCTAACAAAATAGAACCAAATCTACTTTTAAAATGGAGCCCTGGGAACATTTCTACCCATGAAACATCCTATTATTTCAAGGAGGCAGTAGGGGCAGTGACTTAACATACTTGTAGCTAGGATGAATCTTGCTCCCTAAGTGGGGAAATATTTCTATTCTTTGTTCCAGTATAATGAACACAAAGTTATCTTTGAGTTTATTGGCTCATGAGCGGGCAGTTTAGTGGTCTAGACCACTACTATCCTCCACCCCCACATCCTGGAAGCAAGAAGCTAAAGCCATCATCTCAACTGAACAAGACACTGAGGAAGTTTCCAGAAGATTCCAGTGAGTTGTTGTCCCTTGGAGACAGGACCAAATGTGCTCGGCAAGCAAAACTCTAGTACTTCAACAAGTTTTTCTGTCTCCTTCCTGAATATTTAGAATGGCCCTTTGAAAAAAATATCTTAATCTCTTTATAATAAGAACAGTGGAGAATGATATAAAATTGTTTGGGCTAATAGGGTTGGCTTGAAAAGTAAGAGAGGGATAATTTGAAGACCCAGGCACTAGGTCAACCTGGACTTGAAGAAATGTGCCTTTTGCTATACTTTACCTAGATCCCTGGGGTTGCTGCACCACTCAGACCACCACTTAGCTAAAATCTGTTGAAGTGGTGGGGAGCAAAGGCTCCTAAAGGTGCTCAAAGGACAAAGGGACATTCTGGTCACTTCCCTCTGTGAGCTGAACTGCTCGATCTTACTGTGGAGGCTAGCACATCCCTCTCTTCCAAATCCGTCTTTGTTGCATACCTGTCTTTCTCTGTGGGTTTTCACATGTCCCTGTCTCCTGCCTGCCCCAGTCAATATCCACATTCTAGGTCAAGTATTCTGACAGTGCTGTTCTGTGTATGAGAACAGCATGTGTGTGTGTGTGTGTGTGTGTGTGTGTGTGTGTGTGTGTGTGTGTTTATTCCCCACAGCTCCTGCCTTCAATCAGCTTCTACTTCCTGTTATACCAGAATCTAGGAAGCAAGGAAAAGATACTAATTTGAAAGATGAGGAAGAAAGCACAAATCAATCAATCATTAGTGTACTATACAAGGATATGAAGACACAGGTAGCTACTCAATAATTGACAGCTAAATTATAAAGTTTATATTTCTTTTTTTACCTATACTCAGGAACATCCACTTCCTACTTTCTCCTTGGCAGATGTTGAAGAAGGTAATTTTGTTTCAAGAAGACCCTTTATTTTCTCATGCCTTGTCCATTTCTCAATTTCAAAAGTATAAGAACACTAACACTATCCATTTGATTCTACCAACTTTCATCATAGCTTCTGTCTTTGCACAGCCTACTCCAGACTGAGTGGAGGCCATAGACACGGACTGGCCTGTGGGTCCATCGGGCACCCAGGGATGAGGACAGGCTCCCAGCTGCCCTTCCCCACTTCCCTTCCTGCTCAGAATAGCATGAATTGAAGACAGGAGAAACAAGATGTGAGAGGGAGCAGCTTAAGTTTGACAAAAAGACAAATTGTCTGCTTCTTTGAACATGTAGTTCACTTGTTTTACTACAGAACAGAAAAACCTTCACAGATGACAGTAAATATACTGCATACCATAATAATAGCACTTTTCTCAGTCCTTCATTGATAGAGATTAATGCTATGTCTCAAAATTGTGACGATTTAAATTCAAAAGGAATAAATTAAATAACTGGTGTCACTCTCATTTTCTAGTAAATGGCATCAATTTGATCAGAAA